TATTTTGTAACAGGGCAAGGACAGCACTCAAGACGAGAAGGCAGCGTCTGCAATTCTGGCTGTGCGACTGGACGACGAGCTCAACGGACGCGCCGTTCAAGTGCGCGTGGTGCAAGGCGAGGAACCCGCTCACTTTTTGCACGTTTTCAAGGGCAAAATGGTGACTTTCATGGGCGGCAAAGCCAGTGGATTCAAGAATTTGCAAGACCACGACACGTACGACGTGGACGGCACTAGGCTGTTCCGCATTCGCGGCACTTCCGAATTTGATGTCCGCGCAGAACAAGTGCCGGAAGTGACTGCGTCCCTGGCTTCCGATGACGTCTTCCTCCTCGAGACTCCAACGGCCACTTACATCTGGGCTGGAAAGGTGTTTTTCACGTTAATTTTTTTTTAATATTTTTAAATTCCTGAATATTATGTGGGTCTATTTTTGTTTTGTTTTATGCCTGTTTTTGTTTTATAGCATTTATACCTTCTGACGAAATTTTTTGAACATCAGGGAAGAAACAAATTCACCTGAATCGACTTTCTTTCGAATTTAAAAATAATTTAGAAAGAATAATATTCGTATCGTACAGACAGTCCGGAAATTTGAAAGGAAAATAAGTTTTAAATTTGTTATTGCTGGTGATGGGTGCCTGACTTTAGCCTCTTGATAAAACTGGATGATGAGGAAATTCTATAAGCATCGGGTTTAATTTGAATAAATTCCGATTTTACCACGCCAGAAAGCCGAATAAATCGAATTCCCGTGTGATAAAATGAAACTACTGTACATTTCTTCGAAATCGATTAATCGAAATTCAAGTGATTCGTCATCGGTTTCTTATATTGTTCACTATTTCACGTATATAGCAAACCTATGCTGTGAAAGAAGAGGAAGTAATAATGAAATAAAAATTTTCGGTTCCCCATTTCTTTTTGCGAAGAATTCAAAATTTGGCTGTATTTCTCTTGTAGACTTTCGAGAATTTCTACATCATTGGGTTTCATCAGAGGCTCTTTTTTTCTCGAAAATTTCGGATTTTTTGGGAGCCTGTGTACATGAATAGGAAATGGTATGGAGATTGCGTTAGATTGAATTTGCATTACTTTGTACAGTATTTATTTATTTTTTAACTTTTTGTTATTTTTCCTGCTTAATTCCAGGGTTCGTCCGATGAAGAAAAGGCGATGGCCACAAACATTCGCTCGGTGGTTTCCCCGAACGCGGAGCCGCAAATGGTTGCCGAGGGCGAAGAACCCGAAGGGTTCTTTGATGCTCTGGGGGGCAAAGGAGACTACAATGCCGACGTCGGGTTGCCCAGCAACCCACTTCTGGAACCACGTCTGTTCCACTGCCTACTCACTGCAGCAGGTATAATTATTTGGTATACAGTACACATTTTTATCATTGAGAAAATATGTGATGGAAACAGATGTGGAATATTAATTATTGGCTTTTGCAAATGAGCACTTCAACTTGTAGCAATCGCCAATTGTTTACTTACTGTTTGCATGGATTAAAAAAAAATTATCAAATGTAGGAATTGAAATTAATTGAACAGCTAGTTTGAATTTCTGCTTTTCAGCATTCACAAGGTTCAAGCAATGTTCCCATACATCCAAACCCCTTCACTTTCCCACCCACATTCATCCAAACACATTCTTCACATCAGAATGGAAAACAGAGAAACAAGCTGTACAGTACATGGATATTAAAAGAAGAGAAAATATGTCCCAAAAAGGGCAACTGCAATACTGATAAAAAAAATACATCTAAATACATTTTCTTCCCTTCCCTGATCACAAAATTAAAATATCAAAAATAAGAATTGCAGCATATAAAGCAATGACTAAACTCAGATTAAAGCACATGGTGTTCAACCTGCTCCCAGACAAGGTTTAGTTGATAAAACAATTTGGAGAGAATCTTTGATGAGAAATCATAAAAGGTGAACAGTCTTGGAAGTAAAATATTTTTGCCCATATCATTAGGTTAGGTTTATAGAGAGGTTAAATATTGTCTGGCAGCTGAGCTGATTCTCTGCAAAACTTGAATGAAGGCATTTGTCTCCTATGTGTGAAAATATGTGTAACCCTTGAAATATTTTATAATATTATATCCTGTATTATGTGTCAAATCCTTACAGTAAAATATCTTTAAAACAAGTCCATTGGAGCCAGTAATAAAATAGCTTTGTTGCAATGAAAATTGTTAATAAAGGAACTCTTCATATTTTAACATTGTGGCTATTGGGAAATTTTCCCTAAAGAGGTTCAACTGTAAAATAAAATAAAATAAAAGAATTCTTTGTTAGCAATAATAACTCTTCATATTGAGATTTAGCGTCTTTTGACAGCAGACTATATGAAGTAATTCAACATCAGCCATTATTTTCACATTAAATTGTAGAACAGAACAGAACACTTTGTTTGCCGCTTTTCAACGTTCACAAGGTTCATATCAGGATTTCCAATTGTATAATTAAATTGTATAATTCATGCTGGATATAATAACGAAAAAGAGAAGCGCGGGTCTATTTTGAATTTTCCGAAATGAAGTGCGGCGCAGTACAGTGTATCTTTTTATTGTGTTCCTTACAGGCAAACTTCGCGTTGAGGAAGTGGCAAACTTCGACCAAGATGACTTGATCGTCGATGACACCATGGTCCTGGATACTGGGGCCGAGGTTTATGTCTGGATCGGCAACGGGGCGCTTCCTGATGAAAAAGCCAAAGCCTTTTCAATGGCTGAGGTACGAGTTCATCAGATTTATCCTCAGCTATTCTCCTGGGAATTTTTCATCCAGATGAAAATTATGAGATACAGTAATTTCTCTGTGGAATACTTGAAGCTTTTTTTTGTTGTTGCCGAAAAGTTCTTGCGAAAACAAAATAATGTATGAACATTCGAGTTGAATTTGAATTTTGTTTTTACGAGGTTTAAAAGATATTTTTTGTGATATTATTTCTTGGGAATATTCGAGGATAATTTTTTTATGATTTTTGAAGCGGTTTATGTGACTTTTTCCACATCATCAACGTCAGTCAAAAGTATTCATACAGTGAGACCATGAGATGCGGACATAATTGGTGCATCAAGACTTCAAGAGTGTCCCTAAGTCAAAATGTCCCCAAGCTGAGTCTTGTTTTCCCATAGACTTACATTATATAATTTTTAATTGGTGTTTTATGGAAGAAATAATTTTCAGAATTCCCTGAAAAAAATTGTTTGCCACTTGAATTT